ATAAAAAAACATATAACACAATTTCAAAAGGGAGACCCCCATGACATAACACCTCTGAGATACCCCTAATATGAACAAACAAAAACAAAATAAAACAGAATGCCCATCACAGATTTGCCAGAATGATACATATGTTATTACAGCATTCAGGGCATTGATGTAGCAAGACCTTATTTGTCCACCTGCAACAGTTCACCAGTCTTGGGACAGCTAGCTGTCTTCCACTTCTTGACACCATGTCTTTTCTGACTTAAGTCCTCAAGGTACAAGTGTGTCTGAGGTAGAGTCTATATCACCCAGTAGAGTTTGTGTCCAAATAAGCAGCCATCTAAGCAAGATGTCATCTAAGTCCACATGGAAGAAGCACACCATCAATAGCCACCAAAGGACTATAAATAATATAACCTGAAGTTGAAGGAGGGATTAGTATCAGAGCCTAAATTGTGAGAATCCGGTTAGCAGAAGGCTCTGCATGACAGTGGGAACTCAAGATTCATCTGTGGCAACTACACAGGAAACAAGCCTCCACAATTTTATCCACAATTGAGGGATAGGACAAAAGGGGTTATTAGACAGAGGGCATTGGAGAGATGAGTATAGAAGAGATCAAAGGCATAAATCTTACTTGAACAGTTAAAATTTTGTCAGTTGGTTCCCCCCTCTGATATATGCTGGACTCGTTCTGGTTTCAACAGTTTCTATATATATATTTGTCTTGTTCATTCATATTAGGGTGCATCTCAGAGGTGTTATGCCATCAGAAGTCACCTTCTTGAGGTTATGTTATATGTTTTTCTGTTTTCTGGTGTATGAAACTCGGGATTGATGAACCTACAGGGACACCAAGTTGAACAAGGGTTTTGGGGGACGTGGGTGCTATGGGGATGAGTGGGTGGAAGGGAGACAATGTCAAGGAGTCCAGGAAGTAAAAGATTGTTTGGAAACTGGTTGTCATAGCAATTGTACAGTTCTGCTTGATATGATTGAACTATGAAATGATATGATATATGTATTAACTCCCATTTAATTAAACAAATGGATCTGATTTATAACAGGCTCATATACACTTATCCAGGGAAGAATCATCTTTGGACTGTTAACCACAGGTGAGCCTTTGCAACATAGTGGTTACGAATTGGGCTGTTAACCACAAGGTCAGCAGTTCGTAACCACCTGCTGCTCTGTGAAATATAGAGGAGGCTTTCTACTCCTGTAAAGAGTCTTGGAAACTCCTAGAGGAACTTCTACCCTGCCCTATACCTTTGCTATAAGTCGGCATCGACTCCATGGCAGCAGCTTTGGTTTTATTTGGATCCAGGACCTACTATCATGATACTGATCAGAGCAGTAGATAGTGGTGGCAGGGCACCATCTAGTTCTTCTGTTCTCAGGCTAGTGAAGGCTTTCGTTCATATGGCTCATTAGTTCTTTGAAGTAATTGTGGTCATGAGTCTCTGAATTCTTCACTCTTCTTTATTCCATATGGAAAGAGCTCAATAATTTATCAAAGTGACCAATAATTCTTACTTTATTATTAATAAAAAGTAATCATAAATTCAAATGCATCTATCCATGTAGGCCTGTCACTCTCATCAAGCATGTCCAACATGCTCATGCCAGTCATTCTCTAGCCACAGGTAGCTGCTGTTCTTACTTCTACACCTATACATTATTAGTGTCTGCTTCACATAAATGGAATCATACAACAGCTGGTCTGTTGGACCTGGATTCTTTTGCTCGATGTGTTTTTCAATCCACGCTGCTGTACAGACTGGTGGTTCAGACTTTTGTTGTTGAACTGTCTTTCACGGTACGACTGGAGCAAAATACTTTTCCGTTTATTTATTCTCTTACTGATGGGTATTTGGATTGTTTCTAGTTTCACTATTATGAATAAAACTGTTATGAAGAGTAATTTACAAAAAGTAATCATAAATATTTTGACTGGGATGTCTAAATGAGCCCATTAATAGTTGCCATATTCTCTCAAAGTAGTTTGTGCTATCAGCATTTCATAGTAAGTATTTGAGATCCACAGGACACTGGACAGGAGGATCCTGCTGGAAAGAGGTAACCAGTGAAGTCCAGTTCATGCAATATTTTTCATGGCAGCAGAGCCAACTAACATGTCATCTGGGGTCAGTGTGAGGTTAGAGAGAGCTTGATACATGGGCATGCAGGGTGGAGGAAGAAGCAAAAGTGGCTCTTATACATCAAAAGAGTTGAAAATGTTGATTTCAACAAATATCCACTTTGTGCTATTCCTTGAAAAGCAAAGTCCTGGTGCTGTAGTAGACAAGAGAAACATCTATGGTCTGCTCCCAAAGAGCAGAGTATCATCGAATCGCATCCAGGACCCTTAGTCTAACACAAGGCATTTGGGAAGGGAATTCAGGGAGGTACTCAATATAGCAATTCGTATTTTATGGAGTGTTTATGATGCTCACTTTAACATTTATGAATTTATTCCCCATTATTAAAGTTCCACACCTAAAAACATGTTATGAAATTGTTTCAGGACAACAAAATTCTAGACAGTGTGATTGCTTAAGTGAGTTTTAAATAAGTTCTCTGTATTCTTTTATCTTTTCAAAGAAAACATCTTAAATATATGCCTGAATGTGGTAGAGGACAAAGGGGCAAGTTCTGAAAACATGATAGACATGCTCAAACATCTTTAGGGACTGAGTCACTGGGGTTGGGGAACACTGAGGTCAATAGCATGGCAAAATTGACAAGGAGAATACATTCTCTCTGCTTTATCATCTCCCTGCGAGATATTCCTCTCTGCTTTGTCTCCCTGTGAGGCATTCCTGTTGACAAGCCACATGGAAACACACTGATGGAGCCAGAGCCCTGGAGCTGGAGAAGCCATGTGGAGACCCATGCCAGCTCTGAGATGCTTATATTGCCATTGGATCCACAAGATTTTCCACCCACTGGCCTGAGATCTTCTTGCATTTGGCATCATTGCATGTGTTGCATGAACCTGAAGAGGAATTTATAGACTGGTATTGGACATGTGGGCTAATATTGAACTTACGGACTTGATCTGGACTGGGCTGGGATGTTTTCTTAGTATTCAATTACTCTTTGATATAAAGTTCTTCCTTAAACACATATGAGTGCCTATGAACTTGTTTCTCTAGTTTGCCCAGACTAACACCGCACCTTGGCTCAGTTTTCAGCTAAACAATACACAGGTCTATAAGGAGGAGCAATAACACTAGGGAAGCACAGGCACTTCTTACAATACTCATTTGAGATGAAAAGGGCAGCATTTACCCAAGGACTAAGCTCAGAAGAGTCAAGAAAGAAGAAGGAAGGGAAATAGGAAACATAAAAAGAAAGTGGAATAATTAGAATCATCTTTATAATTTTAAGTATCAGTTACCATGGTTGTATATAGTGGTTATGTTTGGGCTGCAATCCACATAGTCAGCAGTTTGAAACCATCAGCTAGTCTGTGGTAGAAAGACTGGGCTTTCTGTTCCTGTAAGCCGTCACAGTCCTGGAAACCCACAGGGGGTCTCTGT